CCACGCTTGGCAGACGGATTAGCAACCGCAGTTAGGCTTTGGAGATGTTTTAAGAAAGACGCTACTGTCCACCCTTTGTCCTCTCTTAATCGCCACTTACAACAACCACGAAAAAGGAAGGAGTGGCCTATTCTATGCCGGGACCACAGGGCGTATTATGTAAACACTTATTACATAAACGAACGTGTAATTTTAATTTCAATATATTATGAGATTAAATAAAAATAAATATTAATCTTCGTTTATTATATAAATAAGAAAATAAATTTAATCTTATTTTTAATTTAATAAACTGCCACTTATTATGAAATTTAATAAAACATTTCCATTAAGTTCTTGTAAATGTGTAAACAACAACAACATCATTTCACTTAATAATATACATAAATACGTAGTAAATTTAAGTATTGTTAAAATTAATATATATTAAAATACTGGCCTTTGTCCGTGACTTCATGACGTGGATATGATACCGAGATAAAAAGTACCCTGATGATAATATTCTTATTCTTTACGTAGTACTGACAACCTCCAACTCATAATTCCTACTCATTCTTCCTCTTTCTACTCCAAATCCTTTTCCGTGCAAGCAGTTCGTTTGTGGAACTCACTCCCTACCTCTATACGGTGCGCTCAATCGTTGCCCATTTTTAAAAACTTAGTTAAATCCCACTACCTATCCTTATAATCACTTAGTCCTACGTATTTCCAGTTTTATGTGTGTTATATATATGTGCATTAGTATGGTATATTTGTATGTATTTATGCGTATATATGTATGTATATATATTTATGTATATATATATATATATATATATATATATATATATATATATATTTATTTGAATGTATGTATGTATTTATTTATGTATGTGTATATGACTATGCTGTCACAGATATTTTTTACAAATCTACTTTTTTTAACGCGCCACCTACCTATTTATGCTTTAATTCCTTCTACCCAAAGATCATCTGGAAGACATTGCTTAGCAATAAGACCGCTTTTTGTACTACACTATACGAATTGAAAATTGTTTAACAAATCATGTTATGTTGGTGCAATAAAGTGTTAAATAAATAAAAATAATATGATGGAGATATTATCATCATGGTATATGGATGGTTGGATAGATTGTTATATGTGATAGTTGGATGGATGGATATGGATGGAGATCCTACATACATCCTACATCTCAGCCATTATCTGTTCACTGCTGAGCATAGTCCTCCCTGTCAAATTGCTATAAAGAACGGTCCTTTTTTATATACTACTTAGAATAGCAAACAAGTTGACGGCTCACCTGATGGAAAGTGGCTATAGACATGAGCAGTACCATGGACATAACAGAGTATACTGTTTCGCCCATGATAATACCCCCCATGCTTTGCCATTCCTGAGGACTCAGATAATACTACCTACATCCACTAACAACCTGCAATACATTTAAAATGTCACTCTTTCTAGTGGGGGGGTCGTCCTACACTGCCTTACTTACATAGTACTCGTATGTGTTTACTAAAATACATTATTATTGATTTTTCCTTTAAAGTGACAGAAAGTGACAAACAAACAAACTCACTTTTTCATTTCTAATCACAATATATATTTTATAATAAATAATAAAAAATATATATTTGTCGATATACAATATTGAATTGATTACATTGTTTTTTTCAAATAAATAAATTTCAATGTATAATATAAATGTTATTTAATTAATTAATTGTATAAAATTATTATATCATTATTATTTTAAAAATGGAATGTTTTATTTTATTTTGTACAGACTAGACGGTCCGTATCATAGCTATAAGTATCAAGAGTTGTCCACGGTCAGTCGAGTGGTTCAATCCGATTTTATCACGTAACTACACAGTTGTTCGTTACGCTTTGAATATAATTTCGATGATTTAATTGTAAACTCAAACGAAAACTATTTATAATTTAATTAAATTATTTATTATATCAATTATTTATATTTGCAATATATATATATATATATATATATAAACTGAAATGAAAATATTTTTGTGTATGGATTATTTAATACATTAAAAATGTTAAAGATAGAATAGATTGTTATCAATATATAAACGGAAATATGTCTCTGTCTGTCTGTGTACGCATTACATAAAATAAAATATATTATCTTCTATTGTTCAATGATTAACAATGATTATTAATGACTGAAATCATGACATAAACATGCATATTTTTCTAATTTTAATATCAGAACAACCGTATTGACTTACGTGCATTTTAATTGAAAAAATTGAACTTGTTTCGGGATAGTTTTTAATTGCTGGAATTAATTTTTATATTTAATAAATATATCTCACTTAATCACGCTAAAATGGTTAAAACAATTTAAAATGACACAAGATACATTGCATGTGTCCTAATAACGTATTCTTAGGCATAAAGAAAGAGATACTTGTAGGAGATTTTTATTATTTTCGACTTCAAATTTTTACAAAAAAAAAGTAGTAATAGAACTATGGGTTATAACTAGTATTCGATAATGAAACTTATTATAGAAGAGTTTTCTAACAATGATAAAATAATATAAATGGAGATACCATTTTAGTTTGAATTAAAACTAATTATTTATTAATTAGACTAAACCGTCTTTTTAAAAAAAGCGTTCACGCTCACTTTTTATCATTATCCGAGCAATAAGTGCTTTATATTATTCCCAAATTCGTGTATAATATAGTATATATCATATATGTGTAAGTATATTTGTTATTCATATATATTTATTCGTTTATATATGTAATTTTAGTATGTATGTATATCAATAATTAGTAGTACCGCATTCGAGTATTCTGACACTTCTCTATGGTTGACTGGGTGAGAATGCTTTTAGCATTAAGTCCGCCATGTACACATATTTGTACTAATGAATAAATAAATAAATAAAATGAAACGTAAAAGCAAAAACATAAAGACAAATTTATGACTATAATTAATAAATTGTTTACACAAATATTTCCAGACTATTCTTATTTTTTTAATTAACACTTTATTATTGTGCCGTGTGGTCCAGGCATAGAATAGGCCATCCCCTCCTTTCCCGTGAATATCGTATGAGGCGACTAAGGGAGCTTAATGATCGAAGGACAAGCAGCAGCGAAAACATGATCAAAGCCTAATTGCGGTTGTCAACCCGCCTACCAAGTGCTGTAACTACTGCCAAATTCCCTAATAAGGGATGGCCTATGTTCAACAGTAGACAGCTAATGGCCGATATAATAAAAAAAAAACTTTATTATTAATAAATTGCTCTGTCTACTATTAAAAATGAACTCTCTCATTTAGATAAGAATGGTCTTATTTATAAAAATGTCAAACGTCTAGAAATCCTAATACAGCAATTAATAAGAACGTTTCCTTTCTTTCTCTCTATCAAGATAAATTCTTAATTTGAAATATTTAAATTAAAAATGGAACGTTACAATGTTAACCAACGTTTCCCTTTTTCCACCAAAATACATGTCGCAAAATATGTTGTGTTTGTGACATAATTTGCGGCCAGTATTTTGGTGGGAACACTTGTCATGACGTCTGTACAGACAATTGTCATATTTTATATATGTATCACAATATTTATGAAGTTGATATAAATATCCTACTAATATTATAAATGCGAAAGTTTGTAACGTTAGATGGACAAACGGATTTCTGCGACCATTTTTTATTCTTTCACGTAAAAATTTACTAAACGGATTTAATTGAAATTTGCTATACAGATAAGTTTATCCATCCTATATTAGGACATAGAATATTTCATGTATTGATTTACGTAAGCAAAGCCGCAGGATATAGCTAGTATTTAATATATACGAGACGGTACAAAAATTTTTCAGAATATAAATAAAATAGTAACCTCTCTTGCTCTGCTGATTTACACTGACAAAGTACCAGTGAATGATGATAAATGAAGATAAAGTTAGGTTGCTTGGTCCATCGTGAAATATTCATCAAAAACTAATGAATGAACGAAACTATTGTTTCCTTCAAAGAATGATACAAAAATATAAAGATTATCAATATATATTAGTTATTACCAGAGGGAGACTTTGTACAAAAGTCGTTTGCTTGGATACCACTGTCCCATCCATGTTTCAACTGTAAAGCAGTTGTGTTTGCATAACTGTGTTTCGGTTTGAAGGGTGAGATATGGTGTGAATTTACAGGATACAGAGGAATAAAACCTGATTCCTCAGAAATGGCAACGCATGGGGGGTCATGGGCGAAACAGTATACTCTATTATGTCCATGGTACTGCTCATGTTTATAGGTGACGGTTACCACTTTCCATCAGGTGGGCCGTCAGCTTGTTTGCCATTCTTATGCCATTGTAGTTTATACAACTTATGTATATATATATATATATATATATATATATATATATATATATATATATATATATATATATATATATATATATATATATATATAACAGTGATGGTAATAATCTGGGGTTAGTTTGCCATCTCCTCTCCTTAAGAGGAGAGATGTGAAAAACTTTTCACTCCCGAGTACTAAGTATTAGAGAAAATACTTCATTCTACTTTCACAACTGAAATGGCAACTGCAATTCCTTTTGATTCCAGTTTTACAACGTTACAGCTTTTCAAAATAAATAAAAAAAGTACTCCTATATTTGACCCGAAATAGAAACTTATCACTGAGTTAAATTCCCTTAAAACTCTTCAGTAATTGCCGCTGTCATATACACAGACGGACGTATAAAAATTCTTTATATATTTTTATTTATTTAATAGTGTCATTCGATTATACATATATATATATATATATATATATATATATATATGTATATATATATATATATATATATTTGTACAGCATTCTAAAGAACAACTTGAACTAAACGTCCTCTCAGATGGCAATTTTTCGCACAAACTCTCTCACAGAGAAACAGCATCAACAGTTTTGCGCGCGCCTCAACCCAACCCACCCCAGTTCACCCCTGGCAGCCGAGCCGCTCGCACGTCCCCCAATCCCCAAATGTATACACCGATGAGTACCCATTCGTAATACGAGAATTGAAATTTAAAACACATACATTTGAATTAAAAATTATTATTTCAGTTTAAAAAAAGATCACTTTCGAAATTTAATTTTTTTTTCTAAGTGGCCAGTGGTACAGTTTATGTTCTTGAAGACAAATGATGTGGTATATGACAGAAGTGGGGTAGTGATATATAGCTGATATTATTGTGATGATGATAAAATGATCATCAGACACACAAGACGACTTTGAACGTGATTCTGCCAGGTATGTGTTTATTTAAACATATTCTAATATATGTAAAGCGTTTTAAATATATTAAAATTTCTCATTTATATAAGTACAAAAATTGAAGAAAAAAAATACAAGTCTAATGTCTAAACATAATATATTTTTCTAGTTAAATAAATAGTTTTAAAATCAACTGAACCGAAATGACTTAATGATTTAATATAAATTATATATGACATTAAAAAAATATATTAACAGTCCAATAAAATAAATAATTAACTTTTGAAAAAGCAGACCAAATCCAAATGTTTAATATAAATCTATAAAACCATTTACATTATTCAGTTAATTTAATTTTAATTAAATTTTTACAGTCGAACGATGATTCGTTAAAAATGTTATTTTGCAACTCAAAGAGTTTTTGGTGCGTAATACATATTAACTAGCTTTTTTCTCGACTTTATGTGTGTGGCTGTGTTGATAACCTAATTCTTTCTCCATCCCAGAAAGGCGCTACGCATATACCAAATTTCATAATGATTGATCGAGCCATTAAGGCGATAAGGGGTAACAGACAAACTCACTTTCGTATTGACAATTTAAAGATTAGTCTACTTTTATATTTGCATAAACTTGATTGTGATTTATATAAAAAAAATATGGAAAATTTAATCAATTTAAAAATCGCATACGTACAAAGTATTGACTTTCTGCCTGAAATGTCGAAACTGTGCACGTATTATAGAAATAATTAATGAGACCGGGAAAAGGTAACGAAACGAGGGCCTGGCCCAATATGCTTCCGAAAAGAAACATTTAATAAGTACTCTGCAATTTAAGATATGGCTTCGCAAAAAAAGTCCGATTTTAATCATAACAAAATTGGGAGTTAGTTACGCGGACAACTTAACTATCATATCAACTGTTAACTATCCAATGCTGAACGTAGAATTCTCCATCTTTATGGGGTATTTTGCTAATAGTTCCCACGATTAGCTGGCGGGTTAGCGACCGCAGTTAAGTTTTATTATTTTAAGAGGGATGCTGCTGCCTTCGACCATTGAGTTCACTTAGTCGCCTCTTACGACATCCACGAAAAAGGAAGGGATAAGAAAGGGGTGGTCCGTTCTATGCTGGGACCATATAGTTAGAAAACTTAATGGGTAATAAAAAATCTGAAATAGAAAATCGAAAAAAGTTAATACGTTTATCGTGCGATAAAACAATAAAATAAATTAATAATAATATACTATAACCATTATAATTAATAATAATATTTATTGGATCCAAAAAGACATGTAACAATCATACATTTCGTTCGAAGACTTCACACACAGAAAATACAGATGACAACTTGCTCTTTTTGGAAATTATGTAAAAAATAATATTTACGAAGTCGATCTCACCGGAGAGTCTTGATAATGACGTCTGTCCCCTTTCAAAAATATAAAAAAAAATACTTGTGTTAAAAAAAAATTATTTTATCTAGCGCTCAATTAATAATTTAAATAATTCTTGTACTGTGTTACCACACACCGTCTGTATTGATAGAAATTTATTTGTTAAAATTAACTTTTTTTAAGAAAAAAAAAGCAGCAGTTGAGTTTCTCGAGCGTACTTCTCAGCTGAAATTACATTACGAACTGGACGGTGGAATCATAAATTAAAAATGCTTATAAGTAAGTTTATTTGAATAAAAATTATTCTTTTTCTTATGCAAATACTATAAGAATAAGGACTTTTATTCTTATGGTAATACTGTGTAGAGAGAGCTCGAGCGAGAAAAGCTATAGGAAACATTTAAAACTAAGTGTATTTTGAAAAATGAACAGTGACTTTAAACGTGAATATTTGCTTATACACCAATAAGGTGACAAGTCGAAGATACGCTACGTCATAAGATGCTGATGATAACATCATCATCATCATCATCATCATCATCATATTAGCCATTAACTGTCCACTGCTGAACATAAGCTTCCCCCATTAAGGAGGGTTTTGCCTGTAGTTGCCATGCTTTGCAGGCGGGTTTACAACCGTAGTTAGGCTTTGGTAACATTTTAAAAAGGACGTTGGTGCTTATCCCTTGACCATTAAGTTGTCTTAGTTGCCTCTTACGACATCTAAGAGAAAGGAAGGAGTGGCTTATTCTATGCCGGGACCACACGACTTACTAATATAATAAAATTGTAATAAGATGCTGCTGGTACGTGGGAGATATTAAAGAAAAAAAATATATAATAATTTACCAGAGGGACCTCTTTCCCCCAATAAAAGTCGTGTGATCCCGGTATAGAAAAGGCCACGTTATCCTTTCTTTAGGTAATAGAGAATATATAGAAGCGAATAAATAGGTATTCCAGGGGGACACTTTGTACAAAAGTCGATTGCTTGGGTACCTCTGTCCCATTCGTTTTTCAACCGTGAAGCAGTTGTGTTTGCATGGCTGTGTTTCGGTTTGAAAGGTGGGATATGGCGTGAATTTACTGTGTACAGAGGAATAACATCTGAGTCCTCAAGAATGGCAACACATGGGGGGTATCATGGGCGAAACAGTATACTCTGTTATGTCCATGGTACTGCTCATGTATATAGGCGACGGTTACCACTTTCCATCAGGCGGGCCGTCAGCTTGTTTGCCATTCTAAGTTGTATAAAAAAAAAGAATTAATATTTACTACTAGATTGCTAGTTAAATTTACATGTAGATTTAAAACACTGACTCGATTGTGGTAAAACAGTTATTTTGGTTTAAAAACTAAACTATTTGACTAATTTTGACAAAATTTCTATAAGGTCATCATAATGTCACAAACTTACACATAAAAAAAATTCCAAGGGTGAATTAATAATAATTCATTTTATTTTTTATTTTTCTTCTCTACACTCCAAATCGATTTATCAAACCGAAACAAAGTAACCGAATCTCTTCTTACAATGTAATCGTTATCTAAAAGTGGAAGAAGCTTCGAAGTCGTTAAAAATAATTCCACATCAAAGGGCCGTCAATTAAAATAATTAAAGATCAAGGAAAGTGTAAAACTTGAACGTGAAATTGTAAAAATAATTCTCGGCATTCCATTGAAACTACTGGAGTTTTATTAAAGTGCAAGCTTTAAGAAATTTTGCAGCTTCAAGAAGGAGTTATAAGGGAAAAAAATAAGCGAATTTTGTATAATTTTTGTCTGCTTTTCAAACACATAGTACTGTTCAAGTGTATAAATGACAGTTACTTTTCAAAATTAAACTGTCATTCCTAAGGACCATAGTCTGCTATATGCCTGTGTACTCTGAAATAATTTTTTTTTAATAAGTGAAAATAGTATGGTAGCCCCGCCTGCGCTAACGGGATACGCTGAGCTGATACTGGGAGCACCAGTGAAGGATGATAGACGAGAATGAAAACATGCCAGTTAGCCCATCATGATGAATTCATCAGGAATTAACCATACCAGTTTCCAGGGAAAACCGCGAGAAGATCGACCTGGTTGGGTATATTGCTAGCAATGGGATTCTCAGTCTCCATTACTAACAATCTCTTTCCCTCCGTGTACTCTGTAATTTCACTGCCATATCCCACCCTTCAAACCGAAACACAGCCATGCAAACAACTGCTTCACACACTACAAAAACATAGATGGAACAGAAATACTCATGCAGACGTCCTTTGTATAAAGTCTGGGAGACTGTGTTGAAATAAATTCCACTGTGTTCGATTGACCGCAAGAGATATCTTTTGGAGAAAAGTTCAGATTTGCTTACATTATTTTTATTAATTAATTTAGTTAGTATATTACTGAGTAAATTCCTATTTAAATAATAAATGCGAATGTTTGTAACGATAGTTGGATATTTGTTACTCTCGCAAAAACTACTGAATGAATTCGAATGAAATTTAGTACACAGGTAGGTTACATCTTAACTTAGCACATAGGATACTTGATAAAGTTATTCACGCGGGAGAAGCTATGGGACACAGGTAACAAAAAATATATGGAATATAAATAGAACTGTATCAAATTAAAATAATAATAATAATAATTTATTTATTTGTTAGAAATGTGGATATAATAATGGTCTTAAATATAATAGATCTACACATTTCGCCTTATCTAAAGGCATGCAAATTTAGTATTATAATTTAGTGGCTTACGTATATTAATAGCCTACAAGGATCAATCCATAAATATTGGCAGCCGCACACATACTAATGGTAGCAGACTAAATAAATACAAATACAAACTAAACAAAAACAAATACATAACAAGTCAATAATATAACAAATGTCATACAATACAAATGAATTACACATTTACATACATTCATTCTTGTCTATGATATTATGAAATAACAAATTTTAAAATTAGAACTATCGATCGAAACCAATCCTCAATATTTGATACAATCTAGGAGTAATAACATTATATAAATATAATATATAAATATAATATCACATATTATAGATTGTCCACAAATGCTTCAATTATTTTACTTTCGAATTCCCTCTAGAATACTTCAGAAACAGATAACTTTTTTACGTCCTCCGTTGAGAAGAATAGACTTAGAAGCCAACACGCCTGTACCCATACTATGTAGTATACTAAACGCCCACAACAATCTGATTAATAACAATTTCGAACCTATTAACAAAAATACAACCTATAGAGAAATGTAGGATAAGAACTTATTAAAGAACATTTTAGACATACGTTCTTAAACTGTTTATTTTTGGGATACTTTTTATTATTAATAATAGAACATGTGGTGTTCGCATGTAAAAGACTTTTACATTAAACAAAGTTACTTTCCTGTTACTGATTAAGTAGCATTTAAAATCTTAAAAGTTTATTTTTTTTATATTACTGTTCCATCAGGAGACGGATGATGTTGCCAATATAACCTTGACATTAGAAGAGACATTACAGTTTTATTGGTAATGCGATAAGATTTCCTTTTCCGTGTTCGTTGGAAAAGTTATTAGTGGGCCTTATTAAAAAAAACGATGGAAAATGTACAATATTTATTATAATATAATA